CGGTTGTTCGAGAGGAAATGCATACGTATTTGGTAAAAAGATTTATATATAAAATTTTCTTGAATGATGCAAACCATTCATTACAGTTCCTCAAAACAATTTATTTTATTCTAATTTTATTCTAATTTCTTTGGATTTTGACCATTTACTGTCAAATAATATCAAAGAAAACAATACAAACTTGATAATTTTGACTTAAGGATATGTTGTATTTTCTGACAAAGTCAATGAATTAATCAACCAGAAAATCGAAATGATAACTTCAAACAAGGCTATTGATATCCTTGTTTCGTTAACTTGTTTTTGAATAGCTTGTCTCGTTTTAGATATTATTCATGCATGAAACATCCCCCTTCGTATCGAATCAACTGAGGGATGTAAACCCAATGCACAAGTATTAAGGGTATATTTCATTAGTAAGAGAAGCAGACGGTTGAAAAGTTTTGGTGTATTTGATGTGTATTCTCCTAAGCCACAGCAATCTGAAGTTTTTATCGTCAATCCAAAAAAAAAAAAATTCCCACCTTCAGCTAAAAAAACACGAGGATGACAGAGTGTTTTTTTTTGGGGGGGGGGGGGGGACCCGCCTAAACAAATACGGTGTTATATTACAAAAAAAAAATTCCCACCTTCAGCTAAAAAACACGAGGATGACAGAGTGTTTTTTTTGGGGGGGGGGGACCCGCCTAAACAAATACGGTGTTATATTACATCTCATATGATTTGGAGTTCTTATTGATGCTTGAATTAAGGAAAAAATAAACATATAGACTAAATATTAGATAAACATGTATATATTGAACATTAATTTTAACATATCAATTTATACTCATTTGTTACATTGTAAGTTAATAACATCTCTTCTATAGTGTATAACGTAAAACTATGTAATTGTTAATTGGTTCTTTTTATTCCCTCAGGGATCCAGCAATAATATAACATCTGATCCGGTGAGATATTTTTAATGATTTAAAATTATGTTTGTAAAATATCATTTCATCTTACTGTAATATATAGGGTATAATATATTTAAATACCATACATGTAATACTATGTATTTTCCCTTATAATACCTACTGATTCACGTACACCTTATCAATCTGCTTATGTTTATAGTTTTAATTATTTTCTCTTCACGGAAATTCAGGTATATGTTACACAAAATAAGGTACATTATGCAGATGTCTTTCTGAATAAACTAAAAACACACATATCAGTTACCTGTATCTTTATAAATATCTTTTGTTATTTTTTATAAACTGTATACATTAACCAGTAAATACAACGATCGATATTAAAAAAATGTGCATTGACCATGAAAATTAAGATTTTGTTGAGATTTAATATCTTTGAAGATTGAAACTAACTCCTCATCTCATGAGCTGGAACATTGTCCACAGAAAAAGAAGATATGTCAGTTTCTGAAGAAAAATATGATGATATTTTTGATCACCACGCTATTCATTGGTCTATTGAGTGGATTTGTTACATTTGCAGTACTATACACCACTGTGAAAAATACCGTTGATGGTAAAATATTTTACTCTATAATTCTGAAATGAATTATTTTGCCTATCAGAAATTTCTGATGAATAGTTAATATACCTTTTTTTAAGATAAAGGCACATCAGCCAGTGACTGCACAGAACTCTATAGAAGACAAGTTACGACTTCTGGAGTGTACATTATTTGTCCCTGGAATCGATTGGACCCAAAGTTTCGTTGTGTACAGGTTTACTGTGATATGGAGACAGACGGAGGTGGCTGGACTGTATGTACTTTTGAAACTATTCAAAATGTACAACACAACCCTTTGTTAGTAACCTAAAAAAATCTAAATAATTTTTCAGGTATATTGCAAAGAATTCAATACACTGGTACATGTGGGTTTGTTTCGCCAATGTAAATTTCTTAGACAACATTTGATTATGATTTGAAATTTTTAAGAATATAGATCAAATTAACCCATGACTCATATTAGCTTGGTTTGGTTTTCGGCGCTGCTGTTTTCATCGTTTCAAACTTATCGCATTTTCATCTTTTTTTAATTGAGAATTACAGATTGTTGATTGATTGCATGTTGTTTAACGTCCCTCTCGAGAATATTATACTCACAAAGAGACTTCACCACTTGTCGGTGGAGAGTTACAAAATTTGTCCTCTACTCGGCACTCAGGGCAATTGCCCAGTGAGCGATCTGTTTTTGTATCAGCACCTTCTGCGACATTGTACCTCGGTTTATACGGTCCTATCTTGAAAGACTGGTCCCCAAGTCCTACAGTGGAATTCTTTCTCCTTTATTCGCGACTCTAGAGCAGACGCTCTAATCAGTGCGCTTTTGAACACGAAAACTGATAAAAATCTCTATTTAATGAACATGTATTTCTTTTTTTTATACATGTATAAAAAAAATCATAGTGAATTGTTGATTCAAGTTTGTTTCAGATAAAGCTCTAAAACAATTGAAACTCCTGAAAGAGCACTAGGGTTAACATTTTTCAGTAAGAAAGAGAAAGGGGGTTCTTTTTGAGAAAAATGGAGCGAGTTTACCACGGCTAATGTACCTATTTTTATCATTATTAAGTTTTGCAATAATTTTGTTTAACCAAACTTCTTTCAGACTGGTGCTCTTATGTTTTATTTCATATCTACATGTGTATTGAGTTTTTTTTATATATTTTTTAAATTATGAAAAAAATATTTTCAAAATTATATTAAAAATCATGTTATTTTATAAAAGCACCATAAAATGAATCCGTATATTCTCTTTTTTTCATCTTAAAAAACCCCAAAATTTTGAATTTTGAAATGTTTGACTTTTTTGTTTAACTTTTTCAAAAGGAATTTTTTAAGGTATAGCAATAAAATGTTGCAATAAATGTGAATATTGTAAATTGCAAGTACAAGATTTATTCCATATAACTAAACATTTAAGGTGATACAAAGAAGACAATCCGGCAAAGTAAGCTTTGAACGAAATTGGAAGGATTATAAATTTGGATTTGGAGACGTGTCTAGAAGCTATTGGATTGGTAACAGAAATTTACAATAACATAAAATTACTGCTTCAGGAACAATTGTGCAATTTGCATGCTTTCTTCATTGTATAGTTGGCTTTTTTTCATTCATGTTAATGTCTTTGAACATTACATAATTATGTAGTCGACTTATTCAGTGAAGAGATCAGGAACAAGATTCTTTAAAACTTTTGTTTATTTATAGTTACTTGATGCACAGATCACAAATTTAAAAATTAATCTATCGCACACATATTTTTGCTTTTCATGATCGAATGCCTTCATATTCGAAGTATTACGATTTTCAATTGTCAAATTCAATTTTCCTTGAATACGGATATGGAGATAACGAACAGTATGTAATCTCAAAGACCATAAAGCAATACAAAATAAAAGCAGAGCAAACAGGGACCCCCGAAACATCAGAGGAGGGATCAGGTGCCATGTAGGAGTGAGCATCCCCTGTCGACCGGTCACTCCCGCCTTGTGCTCCTTGTCATGATCAGAAAATAACGGAAAAAAGCATCATCAATTCAGTGTATAAAGACTTACTAACAGTTGGTATGAAAAATGCCAGTCAGCATTTTACTCAGTGATGAATTGTATTTGCTTACAATGTAATTGTTTCGACCATAGAACTTACGAAATGATGTTTTTAAACGAGACTGCTGATATTCTTGTTCCATCAACTTTCTTGTCAATAATTTACCTTGTTTAAGAAATTGTTTACACATAGTACATGCTCTTGCGTATCGAATCAACCGAGATATATATACTCCGCATGCAGGTGATGGTATCGTTTATCTCAAGCTCACCAGGATATATCGTATCGACGTAGGAATGGAAAATATCATTATTAATTGACAATACATCACCCTCCAAAATTAAAAATGGCTATAGCCATCTATAAACAAGACTCTTAATAAATCAATGTAACTGGCTATACTGGTTATTTCTACATTTTGTAAATTGCAGTTCATTATGCCCCCTGCCACCTTTGAACTTTCTCTGTTCAGCATCAGAGAAAAAAATTGTTCTTATGATAAAAAAAATGACGTAAAAATAAGCCTATGTACGAGAGAGAGAGAGAGAGAGAGAGAGAGAGAGAGAGAGAGAGAGAGAGAGAGAGAGAATATTGTTGGCTCATATGTCATGATTCTAAGAACGATACAAAAAGTTCCTAAATATAATGTACAATATGGAGATAAAGAACAACATTCTAGATCAAAAGTCCATTAGAAATACAAAATAAGAGCAGAACAAGCACGGACCTCCAAAACATTAGAAGTGTGTTAATAGGTGCCATAGAGAAAACATCTGAATGTTTGATTTAAAGAAAAAAATGGATCATGCAGAAAAGAAATCTAAAATAAAATTTTGGTACTGTTCTCGGATAGCTATCAATATTTCCTTTGTTCTTTGAAAACTTGGTGTAATACATACTCTTAAACTTCAAATCATATCTTATATTTACAAGTCTTAACAATTTTCCTTTCAAAATTAAAGAAGTTTTAAATACCTATTCTTAACTCATTTCTTTTTCATTCAGGAAATGACATCATACATCAATTGACAAAGGAGAAAACAAGTTCTCTCTACATAGAGATAACATCTTTGAACAAAACAAACATGTTTATAAGATATGATTTCTTCTTCGTAAACAACGAAAACAATGGCTACAGACTGAATGTTGGTGGAAAAGCTACGGGAAGCTTGGGTTTGTAAAATCAACATTTTCTGAAAAAGTTTGAAGAAGAAATAAGCATCCACGTTTTTGAATGATATAAAGGGGGTTAATTATAGGTAATATTAATTTATTTAAAAATATAAATTATTATCAAAGTAATGTTAAAGAAAAAATATGCATATTTTTTTAGCAGAATATCTTTCTCTTTTTTTATTTTGAACAAGCAAGGAAGATTCAATATTAGGAAAATTGGGAAGAACGATTTTTGAGGGAAAAAAAATAATAATTGAATGTGAATAAAAAGAATGTTTTAAACATATATTAATTTCCATTGTTGTAGAATAGTAGAAACAACAATTCTGTTTGCTATAAACTAAAATAAATTTGTAGAATCAAAAATAAAGGTTCAACACCCCAAAAAAAGAACAAAAAAAAAAAAAAAATAAGAAAACAAAAAAAGTCTGTTTACTTTTCTGAAATTATTTCAACTTAAGAATGCTTTGATTTTAAGTAGTAGAAAACAAAATTTTAAAACTTAGATTGAAATTAATAATTATATAGTAAGTAATCGTAAATGGAAACTACCTGGAATACTACACTTACATGTATCACACTACTCATTTCACTTCTTTCATCTTGTCGTTCAATTCGACGTCTTAATACCTTTCATGGTAGCCTAGTGGTAGAGCGTATGCTTCGTGATCGAGAGGCCCAGGGTCGATTCTCATTCCCGGCGCCACGTCAAACCTAAGACGAAAAAAATAGTCACGGGTCTTTCGGATATGGCCTTAAAAACGTAGGTCCCGTGTCACGGTAGGCGCTGGCACGATAAAAAAAACCCTCAGTGCTCAATGACCCTGATCATGAGTGCCGAGTATAGATCTAAATTTGAAGCCCTTCACCGGCATACGGTGACGTCTCCATATGAGAGAAAAATTCTCAAAAGGGACGTTAATCAATATACAATCAATCAATCATCGACGTCTTAATAAGCGTAGTATTGGGTTTATTTGACTGCATGATGTTTAACCTCACATTTGAGGATTTTTCATTCATACAGGGACTTTGCTGTCTGCCCATGCAGGGCTTGAAACATTACCTAAGCTTCCATTAAGAGTTCTATACTGTGCCAGCTCATCCCTTGACACAGAGAGTCGACTTTAAAGGTCTCATCCTAATGTTCCATAAATTTAACTTTAAATACTTGGTGTTACATGTAAGAAACGAAACAGTCATTACCTATGTTTACGTGCCGCATTTGGGTTTATAGCGATGTGGCAAAGAGAAATGGAACCTGTGTCTCCCTTTAACAGAGTACAGAATTACAAATATACTTCATCAGACACTTCTTATTTCTCTCATAGTAAGCATAATGTACACAATTATTTAACTAAAATATTGCTTAAAATAACAATAATTGCACATCATTGTTTATAACATTTTAAACATAATCGTTAATCAATCTTTGTGTTTCTTTGATTTGTATTTTTTTTTAATTCAAGCATGTTTAGAAAAAGGTTTTTATAATAAATGTGTGTAATGAACGATGGTATTCATAATTTTACAGAAGACAAGATCAGGAACGCACCGTTATCTGACGTAATAAACAATGCCAGATTTACCACTTTTGACAAGGATAACGACCGGTCCCCAGGAAACTGTGCTACTGAACACCGAGGTGGCTGGTGGTTTAATTACTGCCATGATGTTTTCCTCAATGGACTTTATCCCCCCGGACAATGGCATCAGCCTTGGGATCCACCTTTTAGTAATGGATCTTATGTTTCTAGTACGAAGATGATGACCAGGCGTAAAAAATTCCTGTAGGATTTCACTTTGAAAAATTGTAAAATGAATAAGGTTCATTCTAATTTGATATGAATCCCCATAAAAAGTGTTAAAAATCTGGAAATGTTACGTCTGCAAGGAAATATATCTTTTTTGCAGAATATCAAACTTATTGAAAAGCATTTTTTCAAAGGTTGCGTTACATGCATGTATGAGGGAACAATGACACTTAGTGGTACAGTCCCTTATAAAGATTAGGAGTTTCTAAGCTCCCTTGAAACGTCAACCAAATATAACAAAGATCCTTTACTACATGTATTAATCTTTCCATATTTGTTTTTATTCTAATTTTACACGGTTGTACATGTATCACCTTACTTATGTATCATATTTTTGATCTCAAATTGTTGGATCATTCCCATATGTATGTATAAATCAATCTTGTTTTTTTTTATTCATTTATTATTTTTTTTTTTTGAAATAAATCTTTTATAGACAAAATTTAATAGGAGTGCATTTTTGGTGCATATGCACTCTAACAGACAGATAACATGTTATTTGTTGACATAATTTATGAGCCATGGTTATGTGTAATCTAATAAATACATGTAAGCCCCTGTAAATCTGTCCTACATGTCCATTATTCTATGGATTGCATACATATATGTGAACCCCCTCGACAAATGTTTGGCATAAAATTAACCTCGGAGGAAACCTTTTGTTTAATCTTACTTAGACAGTCTTTCATTTGTTCTTTTATTGCCACTTACTTCAGTACACATTCTTCTAGCTAATTTAAAGAGAATGAACGTTCTGTATGGCTTGGACGTCAGGAACTAAAACTGAGCTATTGATTAGTTTCTGATTGTTTGTAGTAAATAGCAGTCGAAGATATTTGTTATTAGGATACTTAAAACTGGAATGCTCTTAAAAATGTTCATTGTAAAATTGATGTCTGGATACAGAAATATAAATGCAATATAATTAAGAAAATATGTAATTGTTTCTCTTCTTGCACATATTTTATATGTTTACTCATGACGATGGTCTTATTTTTAAGGAACTAGCTAAAATCTTGCGAAGGGGAAATTAATTTTTTTTTTACTGATAAGAAAACTATTCCAAAACTATATTTCAGATTTTATTAACAGTTCATTACACAGGAATATAGCATGATGAAATACTTCAAAGTCCTGCAATTAGTCTAGGAACAGGAATAGATAATTATAGGAAATATATTTTCTAATACTTTTGTGAATTTTTTTTAGTTCTACAAAAATCAATTTCATTAAAGACCTCTTCTTACATGTTATAAAGCAACTTTATTCTGTTGTACTATATGTTAATTCAATTCTTTATTTCCTTATGCCAAATGACACATCATACAGATACATGTACATTGTATTATAAACAAGATATACATATATTCAGATTTTTCAATTATATAATAAATGTTTACATACATATCATCAGCTACGAACAGTTTAATAAATCTTTTCTTCGTTGTAAAGCACTGAACAAAAATAGTCCCAATTAAACAATTCTTTGACATTTTGCACACTTCACAATTGTATTAATTTTTAAACTTAATTCTGTTATACATTACGCACTACAAATACATTGTAATTGAAAAAAAAAGATTAGTTTTCATTCCAAATGCGCAAACAGGCCTAGGAGGTGTAAATAATTTTTTAAAATGAAAGAACTTGTGTAGAAAACTAGGAGACTTATTGTTCAAAGAACAATAAGAGGTCTTTCCACCTTTTTAATTTCAATTTCATTTATAATTTATCTCTTTAAGATTAAATTTCATAAAAAAGAAACCAGGAATGGCTTAAAAGAAGAAAAAATTAAAAATTTTAAATTTTTCAGGTGACCTTGACCTTTGACCTTCAAATCATATTCAAAGGCAAAGGTCAAGGGTCACATTGTAATTAACCTCATGTCTTTATGACTTATAGTTTTCAAGTTATAAGGTTGAATAGTAAGCACAAAAGCATTAAAGGGCAGTAACTCATTCAAGGAGTCACCAGATCCTATTGCGCTTGAGCATAAAAGTTTTGCCTAAAATCCCATCAGACATTAGAGAAGTTTTCATGTCTTTTCGGTTTACGGTTTTGGAGCAATAGTAAATAAAATGTTTTTTGCACAAGGGGCAATAACTTTTAATAGGGTCAATCTTAAGGGACAAGAATGATATGTTTGAAACAGTTTTAAGAGTACATATTAATGATGCATAGACATTAAGCATATGTTGAAAGACAAAAGAGATATAAAAAGAACTAAATTTCTCAGTTTTGGAATGACCTTGACCTTTGACCTTTACATGAATTTTAAGCTCAAAGGTCAATGAATCTTATGCAGTTGGGCGCATGTCTCTACACCTTCTCGTTTTGAAAATTTTTAATTATTTTGTAAAATTCAAAAAGTTTCAGGGGCAATAATTCATTGAAGGGGTAACCGAAGACTTTCGCAATGAATAGATTCCAGAGTCCTCTCAATGAGTCGAAGACTTTAGTGAAGGTTTCATATTTCTACGGTTTACGGTTTCGAAGGAGTAGCAATAACAAGCATTTCTTGCGAAAGGGGCGATAACCTATAATAGGGTCAATCTAACGGAATACGAATTGAATCTTTAAAATAGTTTTAAGTGTACATATTAATGATGCTAAGACAGTTTGTATATGCAAAGCTACAAAAAAGATATAAAAAGAGCTTAATTTCTCAGTTTTGGAATGACCTTGACCTTTGACCTTTACATGAATTTTAAGCTCAAAGGTCAATGAATCTTATGCAGTTGGTCCCATGTCTCTATCACTTCTCGTTTCAAAAATTTTTAATTATTTGTAAAATTCAAAAAGTTTAAGGGGCAATAACTCATTGAAGGAGTCACCGGATACATTCCGAATGAATAGATTCCAGAGTCTCTCAATGAGTTGAAGACTTTAGTGAAGGTTTCATATTTCTACGGTTTACGATTTCGAAGGAGTAGCGATAACAAGCATTTCTTGCGAAAGGGGCAATAACTTTAAATAGGGTCAATCTTACGGAATACGAATTGAATCTTTAAAATAGTTTTAAGAGTACATATTAATGATGCTAAGACAGTTTGTATATGTTAAGAGACAAAAAAGATATAAAAAGAGCTCAATTTCTCAATTTTGGAATGACCTTGACCTTTGACCTTTACATGAATTTTAAGCTCAAAGGTCAATGAATCTTATGCAGTTGGTCCCATGTCTCTATCACTTCTCGTTTCAAAAATTTTTAATTATTTGTAAAATTCAAAAAGTTTAAGGGGCAATAACTCATTGAAGGAGTCACCGAATACTTTCCCAATGAATAGATTCCAGAGTCCTCTGAATGAGTTGAAGACTTTAGTGAAGGTTTCATATTTCTACGGTTTACGGTTTCGAAGGAGTAGCGATAACAAGCATTTCTTGCGAAAGGGGCAATAACTTTTAATAGGGTCAATCTTACGGAATATTAATTGAATCTTTAAAATAGTTTTAAGAGTACATATTAATGATGCTAAGACAGTTTGTATATGTTAAGAGACAAAAAAGATATAAAAAGAGCTCAATTTCTCAATTTTGGAATGACCTTGACCTTTGACCTTTACATGAATTTTAAGCTCAAAGGTCAATGAATCTTATGCAGTTGGTCCCATGTCTCTATCACTTCTCGTTTCAAAAATTTTTAATTATTTGTAAAATTCAAAAAGTTTAAGGGGCAATAACTCATTGAAGGAGTCACCGAATACTTTCGCAATGAATAGATTCCAGAGTCCTCTCAATTAGTCGAAGACTTTAGTGAAGGTTTCATATTTCTACGGTTTATGGTTTCGAAGGAGTAGCGATAACAAGGTTTTACATAAAAGGGGCAAGAACTCCGTAAGGGATCATAGGTCATATACGTTGGGTTGTTTTTCGAAATAACTTTTGATGTCAAGTATCATGAACTAAAAAGTTTTTCGATAAGTCTTTCGGATCAAAAGTCCGTAGCGGAAAAATAATAACTAGGAGACTTATTGTTCAAAGAACAATAAGAGGTCTTTCCACCTTTTTGAATTTCAATTTCATTGATGTTATCTCTTTCAGATTAAATTTCATAAAAAAGAAACCAGGAATGGCTTAAAAGAAGAAAAAAATAAAAAATTTTCAGATGACTTTGACCTTTGACCTTCAAATCATATTCAAGGTCAAAGGTCAAGGGTCACATTGTAATTAACCTCATGTCTCTATGACTTATAATTTTGAAGATATAAGGTTTAATAGTAAGCACAAAAGCATTCAAGGGCAGTAACTCATTCAAGGAGTCACAAGATCCTTTTGCACTTGAACATAAAAGTTTTGCCTAAAGTCCCATAAGACATTAGAGAAGGTTTCGTGTCTTTGTGGTTTACGGTTTTGGAGCAATAGCAATTAAAAAGATTTTCGTACAAGGGGCAATAATTTTTAATATGGTCAATCTTAAGGGACGAGAATGAAATCTAACAAACAGTTTTAAAAGTACATATTAATGATGCATAGACATTAAGCATATGTTGAAAGACAAAAAAGATATAAAAAGAGCTATTTTTAAGTTTTGGAATGACCTTGACCTTTGACCTTTACATGAATTTTAAGCTCAAAGGTCAATGAATCTAATGCAGTTGGGCTCATGTCTCTATACCTTCTCGTTTTGAAAATTTTTAATTATTTGTAAAATTCAAAGACTTTCAGGGGCAATAACTCATTGAAGAAGTCACCGAAGACTTTCGCAATGAATAAATTCCAGAATCCTTTCAATTAGTCGAAGACTTTAGTGAAGGTTTCATATTTGTACGGTTTATGGTTTCGCAGTAGTAGCGATAACAAGGTTTTCCGCACAAAGGGCGATAACTTTTATTAGGGACAATCTTACGCAATACTAATTGAATCTTTAAAATAGCTTTAAAAGTACATATCAATGATGCAAAGACAGTTTGTATATGTTAAAAGACAAAAAAGATATAGAAAAAGCTTAATTTCTCAATATTGGAATGACCTTGACCTTTG